TGTCTGCAAACAATCCTATCTCAGCCAAATCATGTTGTTTGGAGTGGGGGGGGAAGCTACCGACCCCAGAAACTAACCGCGATCCACATCTGTTCTTGCTTCCAAAAAGAAATATTTATTGCCAGCTTGCTTCTTCCCAGCCATAACTTGTTCCAGAAAACGCTCGCTCACACTCTGGAGCATAACTTCTTTTTTATTCATTCTGTGGGGTAGTGGCTGCTGGTCAAGCTGCCACAAGCCACTTTTCTTCCGCCCAATCCTCCCTCCCCCTCTCCTCATTGAGTTTGGGAATTTAGCCCTTTTGGACAGGTGAAGCATCTCAGTATTCTTTCTGATGAGTTAACAATAAATAGTCAGAAGACAGGAGTGTAGTGACACTTGTAGCAATTTGCTTGTGCTGAGACTTAATCTCACTCTCTTTTTAAAAAAGATTTTCCAAATTGCACTCCCCTCCCCCCCCAAGATCATGGGAAGGGTGCAGTAAAAGTCTGTAGATAAGTCCCTTCATGCCTCTTAGTTTGGAACTCTTTTGAGGCAGGGTTTATTCTTTTATACTCTTCTCCTGTCCCTTTGTGTTGTGGTGTTTGATAAGGCAGGAGTCTGTTCCCCTTCCCCTTTCCACCCCTGCTGTATATACTGTATAGGATAAAAAGTCTATGTATCATACTGTATTTGACTAACTTGAATTTAATGATCCACAGGAGTTTCTCTCTCTCTTCTCTCAGCTGTATCTGTGACTGAAAACTTTCATTAGGAGGTTGTTATTTTTTTTAATCGTTGTTATTGAGGGTGATGGGAGATATCCATGTCTCCACCCCATACCCAACCTCCTAAGCAAAGATCCTGCTCTAATCCTGAGCTGAAGTGCTAAAATGAATTCTGTTTAGATAGAGGATTAGGTCTTAACCCTAGCTACAACAGGTCAATTCACAACTCCGCAGGTGTTCCTGGTCCCTGCCTGCTGTACAATTCTGTCACAGCTCATCCTCTTGGTGTTTATTTTATTCTCATTCTTCCCAGTGATGTCTTTCTCACACACATAATAAGCAACCAGTTAGCTGATCCTTCTTGGCTTGCTTCTCTGCCCTCTCCTGAATCTTTCCGAATCAGTCCCATACCTGAACGTATTTAGAGAGGGAACGGTTAACAATATTAGTCCGTTGCAACCAGGATAACAAAGAGTGTTGTGGTACCTGGAAGATTTAACAAGATTTTTATCTGGCATAAGCTTTTGTGGATACCCAGTGTGGTGCACTGGATAGAGAGATGGGCTAGAATTCAGGGGGCCTGGGTTCAAATTCTTGCTCAGCTATAGAAATTCACTGGGGGTGTGGAACTAGTAAAATCATTCTTTAAATATCTCATATACCTTGAAAGCCCTACTAGGGTCGCTGTAGCTTCGGTTCCCACTTGAAGGCACAGAAGAACGTACGTTTTTGTGGGCTGCAGCATCTGATGAGATGGGCTGGGGTCCCTGAAAGCATAATCTGAGTAAAATATATGAGTGGTTAAGGAGCCACTAGACAGACACTCTGTTGTACCTAAAAGTAGACTTTCCCTCCTCTAGACTCCCTCCTCCCAGCCAGTGTCTACCTCATTTATGCTTCCAGTATTCTTTCCCACATACATACTCACTTCTAAATGCTGACTGTTCTTTGGTCTTTCCTCTTTCCAAAAGATCTCTTACTCCTTTCTTTTTCCTATCCAAAATTAACAAGGTATGTGAAAATTCCCCAGTATGCTGAGTTTCAGGCTTTTTGTTGTGAGGAGGTAGCAAGGTATGAAAAGGTACTTCATGTGAGTGTGGAGTGGGGAGCAGGGAAACAAATCCCACCCCAACACGGTGGCGATTACCCATAGAAGCACAGAAAGGTGTTTAGGGCCCATCTGGGTATTTGAATCAGAGTCAATGCATATGCATAACTCCCCATAATCCCATAGACCCTATCCCTCCCTTCCCCCCCCCATTATTTATTGTGGATGAATAGAGGTTGGCAAGCGTGTATGCAAGTGTGCATGGTTGGAATTTGGTGCCCCACTCTAAACAGGAGTGTTTTTAAAGGGAAGAAAGCTGTGACTGGCTTCCTTCTGGATATTTTGAAGCTTGCAATTTAATTTCTTTTTTAAAAACAGCTTTTCCCTTACAGACCTGGTTAACGATAGCTGTTTGGGCCTTAGAGGTGAAGGATTGTAGCTTGAACCTGTGTGTGGAAGTGGGGTTAGTTGAACATGGGTTTGGGATTATATGAGGGAAACAGGGTGGGGTGGGGTGGGGAAAATATTTCACAGTACAGGGTTAGTGTTTGAGGAACAGAGAGCCAAGACACTTTCTGGGACAACAGACTTGGTACCATCAATCCCGCTTTACAAAGCATTGCCCATAGATGGAGGGGGACTGAGCAGCCAAACCCTGCGCACCCAGAAATTGGAGGGGACCCAGCTCCAAGTTCATCAAGAACACACACACACACATGCGCACCCTAGCTTCCTGTGATGACAAAAAGACGACGACGACGTCTGTTCTCCTCTTCCTCCTCCTCCTCCTCCCCCCCGCCTCTATTTGGATCTTGGAAGGCCCCCCTTTTTTTACGACGTGTATTTCTGTGTATCTTGTTCGCGCCTCAAGGGTATTGTTCTGAGATATGGGATTTGTGTTCTGTATTATTGGATGTTCCTATATATTTTTATTGTTTATTATTAGTGTCTGAGACGTTTTTTTCTCTCAATATGTAAAACTCACATTGTATACTGTGTACACAACAAAATGACAAAAAACACTTTTCTTTGCAAAAATCAAATGCCTGATGCACAGCTTTGTTCATTTTGTTGGGACCGGGGTGGCAGTGAAGAGTTGGTCAACATTTTGTCTTCTGATTTTTTTTTAAGTTGGTAGGGACGTGGTTTCTACTACAAAAGAGAAAGGGAAACTCAGGATACCTGAGCACTGATCCCAATTCTTGCTCCCTTCCCTTTTAGAAGCTCAAGGTTCTTGCACTTGGCCCCCAAAGCATTGCTGCTCAGACCCATGGACTATCTTCCTGGGGAAGCTGCGACCTCTGGATTAATGTCTTCCTCTGTTTAGGTCAAGAATGGGCAAGTGTGGTTCTCCAGATTGTTGGAATGCAACTTCCATCAGCCCTGGCCAGCACTGCCAATGGTGAGAGATACTGGGAATCATGGACCTACAGCAGCTGGAGAGATTCCCCTTGTTGCCCCTCCCCAGTTTAGACACCTTAAACATAATTCCTGGTTCCAGCTTGGGAAGGTTAATTAGGACTTTATTCAGTATTATTAAAGATAACTCAAAGCACAGGAAAAGAATAAAGATAGACCTTACTTGCTCCATCCCTGGGCTGTTTCAATTTGTGGAACAGCAGCACTGCGAGCAGCTAGGAAATGTGGTACATACAAGATTTCTGGTTGGGTATATGGGGCAGGAAAGATCCGTAGGTTAAATCTAGCGTCACCAGAAAAATATTTCAACCCTTCTTACTAAGAATAGTATTAAAACAATTTATTTTGTATTTATCTTGTCATGTACTGCGTTTATTCACACCTTTTAAAAAATCCACTTCTGATTTTAGTTCTTTGATAGCATCCTCATTAATGACTTCCAATTAGCACAACTTTTAAAGTAAGGTGCTGTTTCTTTGTCTGCACTTCAAATGGGGCAAAACACTGCTGTTCTAGATCTTTGCAAAGTGCTTGGAAGATGCTGAGATTAGAAAACTGTTTCTGTATGGCAGAAATACTTCCAAGTTGGAAGGATGGGTGCAGCCTTTGTGGCTAGCACTCCACCCTTACCTCAAACAGCTTGATCATAGGACAACAGAGAAGACTGGATGACAGACTACCTTAAAGGGCAAATTTTAGTACTTGAAACACTTCTCCGTGTTGCACTTGTAGACTGAATGGTACAGGAAATAATATTACATACTTTGTGGCTTTTCCCAGAATGCTGTAATTGTAAGAATCCAACTTTCACGTACCCCCTTACAAAGCACAATGTGCTTTTTTTTACAGCAGAGAAGCATAATCTTTTCCGTTACGATGCATTTATCATAGTTGTGTAATAAAAAGAGCAATATATTTTCCCTCTCCACCTTTATAAACATATGAGCATTTTTTCTGCTGTTCCCATTGAAAAAGGCTTTACTGAAATCTTACACAAAGATGGCAGTGTGATTCTGGAGGTCTGGTATTGATTTTGCAGAAGGTGCCGGTAGCATCAGCTTGATCCTGGATTATATCCCTGTCTAATATGATCTACAGTTGTGCAAAATAGGGTAGCTGCATATCACATTCTTACTGTGTTAAAAGAGACCTATGTCAACTCTTGCTTATCATCCGCTTGTTTCAGCAAAGCAGAAACTGGGTTTTAGTACCTGGAAGTATCCCTCATCTTAAAACAGTCAACCAAAGTAATTGTTAACACAACCCAGTGTGTGTCTATGTGGAAGAAAGCTTCTCTCCCAGGACTGTTTCCAAAAACTCAATCCTGGTACCATTCTCATGTTGAAGATGGCCATACCACAGGACAGGATTCTACTGAACCACCTTTGAGTCTTTGCCGTGTGGAAAAAGGTGGAGGAAACCTTGTAAACAAGTCCTACCAGCATAACAACTTGAAATTGTGCAAATAGCACAAGCACTGACCTCCAGGAGACCAGCCAATGATTACGATGAACCTGTCTTCCTCTTGGCTGTGCCAGTGCTTGCTCAGGTAGCCTAATCCAAGGCTACCACAGAGGCAAGACTCCCTTCGGTGGGCGTTTGACTAGATACACATACACACTCAAGGTGCAGCACCTCATTCAATGCTATCGTGACACTGGTGACAAACACAACTATACAATCTGATTTGGGAATGTTTCCCTTTTATTAAAATTACTTTTGAAGAAGTGACAAGTTCACAGCCTGCTACTACCCTTTTTCATAGCCTTTTGGCCCCATTGTGTACCAAAAAAAATCTCTTCCCTTGCCCCCACCCCCGGTACCTATGCATGGACAGATTATCCCGCTTTACAACTGGCAAAGTGGGCTCTAAACCACCATGGTTTATGCCCAGATAAGTCAGTTTATACGTAAGGTGCTTCAAGGCTGTTCTTTGTAGCTACACAGTTAACGCTTTGATATTTTTACAGGTTGGAATGATTTGCAGTGGGGTGGAATAGGAATTCATTACAAAAACACCCATCTCATCCTCACGTATTCCTTTTCCTGACTGATAAAAAAAACATGTCTGGTTAATAATCTCCATTTATTCTAGAGGTAGCAGGTAGAGGATTCGAACCATAAATACTGGGTGGATAATCTGAAAGACTCTTAATAAAAAATCACTCTGTACAAACATGCAATAATGACAGTGATAATTAAACATGACCGCAGACATTACTGGAAGATCTCGTTAAGTGATCAATACTAGCGCTGCTAATAAATCAATGTCAAATCAGTGTTGCTGCTCAGTTTGTTCAAAGCTTGAAAAAAATTACTTCTTGGGACTATATCAGTATTCCTTTCTCATCATAGGTAGTGGTCATGCTGTCTTGTGCATTCTGGGAATTGTAGTCTAAAAATTTTACTTTTCAGAGCTTCCTATTTCTAGATGTTTTAGCGAAGGAAAGCAAAAAAGGATGGCTGTATGTGAAGTCAAATCATTCTAGCCTTTGTGAAGAGCAGCTTTTAAAAAAATCTACAATGACAGATGTTGCAGTTTGGATCCAATCAACACTACCCAATAGAGCTGGGAGGAGGAGCTACTTTTAGCTCCACCCTAAACAAAGTATTGCCGGGTGATGTGTGTCAGAGAAAATTTGTTTTGAATTAATTCTTTCCTCGCTTTTCATTTCCCAAGATGAAGAAGAGGTTTGTCTTCCAGACAACTTGCCTAGTATTCTTGCATCCTCTACATTACTGTTCTGTATGTGAAGAGTGCATAACTATTTCTAGAAAAATAAAGGGTGGTAGCAGTTACCGGGTGCCAAAATTTAAATCCATGGCTTCTTCAGTTGCTTAGAGGGAGTCAAAAACGGTTCTGCAGAATGCATTCTTACAATATGCCTTTGAATGTGTACGGCTATCTTGTGTATGCGCAGAAGCTTGCTGGCTCTAGCAAGAGTGAAAGTTTTATGATCCTCTGCTGTGACTTTCTAATTCCCCAACATGACAGATCATCAGGCTCTCCTATAACCTGCCCCCTCCCTTCCAAACCTGCCCCCTTGAACCTATATGCCAGGAGTTGTGCTGCCTTGTGCCTTCTTCGCAAAGTGGGCAACCTCCTGTTGCAATTGTCCTGCAAACATTTAGGACAGAAGGGGCGGCCTGAGTAGGAGGCAAGAGGCTTGAATCTTCTTCCCCAGCAACCCCCATCAACACATGTAAGGCAGCGCCGAGCTGGAGATAGGATTTGAAATCAGCTTCCTGCCCCGTTCCAGTGTGTAGGGTCCTCTGTGACAGGAGAGAAACTGTAGTATTAAGACATACTGGAGAATACATGTTGCCAGCTCTTGTTGCAGTGGGGGAGGTAGAGCTGGGGAGAAATCTTGCTGCACTCTGTCCTGGTAGGGAACCGGAACAGCTCTTCTCCCCCTTCTGGGATCTGTCGCTGGGTGCAAGAGAGCAGTTTACAGGATGGAGCAAGGGCAACCTTTCCTTTCTTTCTTTCTAGGGTTAACAGCTGGGGCTGGGGGAGATTCTGCCTCGTGAAACCTCCTGGGCGGGAGGGAAAAAAAAGAGAGAAGTGAAGTAAGAAATTGAGATGAAATACACTAAAAGAACTGGCCTTCTCCATCACCTTCACTGGGGATGGAGAACATCTGGGCCCTCACATGCTTTATTACTGAACTCCTGCACTCCCTTGCTCTTGGCCATATTAGGTGAGGACGAAGGGCACTGTAAGCCAGAATACCTGGAGAACTAAATATTTCTCACCCCAATCTACAATTCGGGATGGAAAAAAATTTTTTACATCCTCCCCAACCCGATGCCTTCCAGATGTGACTGTAACTCCCATCTTCTAGCAGATTAGGGAAATATGACCTTACTGATAGAAGAGAGAACATGTGTACTCCAGAAGCAATTATTCATAATTCCTAACAAAGTTTACACCTCAGCTTCCTGTCCACCTATGTTCTTGAAGTGAGACAGATTTTAAAACCACAATGCAGCTAAATAAAAATAAAAGATGGCCATACCATTATTAAATTCCATCAGAAGCCAGACAAGCAACGTAAGCTTAATTCCTCAAATGAAAACTTAGCAAAGATGGTGCGAACTTGGTTTGGCTTTGGCAAAGATTTCCATAGATGTATTAGTGGGTTAAGAGCCGAGCTGCTGTCACGTCTCCCAAAAATTACCTTTTTTTTAAACTGCACAATCCCCTTCCAGCATGGCAGTGGTTACTGCTACTCCTGAGCCATCATGTTCAGAAGTGGTACACCACCAATTAGCATCTGAATGACAGATATTAAAAAGCCATTGCACAATGCACCAGCACCAGCTACAGCTGGACTGCAGAGAATGCTGTTGTAGACAGCGTCATTTAGCAAGTCAAGTCATACATTCTCACCTCTTTACAGGTTCAATAACCTGTTTTCTATGAAGAAACAAAAGCCACATCCTCATCATATGAGCTCTAACAAGGGTGAACATATAGCTTGCAGCTGAAGGGGGAAATGAACATTGCACACTGATGCAGATTTCAGACCTTGAGATATTTGCAAGCTGCAGGGCTGAAATTGAAGCAAAGCAGGCCTGCAGAACTAGTAACCAAAGAAGCCTAACACAGCCCGGCCCCATTGTGTTGTGACCTGCCAGATGCTTCAGAGTCGTCCCTCCATGTTTCCGGAGACTTTGCAGATCAGCAAAATTAATGATTTGTTAGACCTTAGCTGCAGGGATAAGGAATACATGGCCCTTTATGTGCTCTTGGATTCCAAAGGACATCTCCCTAACTCTGATGGCCAGTACTCAAGGTAATGGGAGATGTTCATCATGATCAGGAAGCCCATGAGTTCCCAATCCCTGCTGTAATAGACAGCCATGCCTGGCAATTTGCAATCAGTTTGATCAATTAAAAGCAATGCAGGTGTAATATTCCGGGAGATGATGACCAAAATTGCATCTGAGAAGGAAATTCTCAGTAATAATAGAAATGAAAAACATCATCCTTTACCTCTTCTACAGAATGGCACAGGTGAAAACAGCAAGGGGTTACATCCCATTATTAGTTCTAGCTAGAATGGGACTTGATGCAGATTAAAATAGAACAAGCAAATGTAGTAGTAGTAGCAATTTTAGAGATGAAATAAAAGTCTAAGAGGTTAAATACAATTGTCAGTTCCAATTAGAGCACTATAATTGGAAGAACAGTAGTTGCTCAGTCAACACTGATACAACAGCACTACTCTAGCTAGGAATAATAGCCAGAATTAGTCTGTTATAAATGCAGAAACAAAAGATTTGAATCACAACTCAGAAAATCTCAAACCAAAGAGTATCAATCCAGTTACAAGCCTCTTCTGCAGCCGGTGAGGTTAGATGCCAAATGCCTGCCTAAATAAAAAGATCTTTGCCCACCAGTGGAAAGGCACAAAAGGAAAATTCAGCTCTCCTCCATAGAGTTCCAAACCCTGGGGTGGGGTCACTGAGATAAGGCTTCCAGAAAAGATGTTTACTGTGCAATTGCCCTATTTCAGGCACAGTATTTTATGGGAGTTCCAAAATATACAGACCAGTATCCTCCTTATTATCTCAGTGTATGGAAGGGTCCAAGTGTGGAAGCTGTGGCCTCAGTCCAACAAGGTGTTGGTCTGGTGCCTGGTCATGTTCAACCAGCAGTTCATCGGAGCTTGGCAGCAGCCTCTGCGCTGGCACTCCATGTATGTGTAAATACTGAGTAGATACTAGGGACGTGGTGGCGCTGTGGGCTAAACCGCAGAAGCCTGTGCTGCAGGGTCAGAAGACCAGGCAGTCGTAAGATCGAATCCACGCGATGGAGTGAGCGCCCGTCGCCTGTCCCAGCTCCCGCCAACCTAGCGGTTCGAAAGCATGCAAATGCGAGTAGATAAATAGGGACCACCTCGGTGGGAAGGTAAACAGCGTTCCGTGTCTAAATCACACTGGCCATGTGACCACGGAAAGATTGTCTTCGGACAAACGCTGGCTCTATGGCTTGAAGAGCGGGCTGAGCGCCGCCCCCTCAAGTCGGACACGACTGGACAAAAATTGTCAAGGGGAAGCTTTACCTTTACCTTTAGATACTAGCCACAGACTTCCATTTTAAATCTTCCCCTTTCTCAACCACTTATTATTTTCCATCTTTTTGTCTGCCACAAGAAGGAAAAGATAGGATAGATGAACAATCATAGAATCATGGAGTTGGGCCTATAAGTCCATCGAATCCAACCATCTAATTCAGGGCAGGAATCCAAATCACAGTAGATCTGACAGATGGTTTTCCAATTTTCTCTTGAATGCCTCCAGCATTGGCGCACTCACCACCTCCTGTAGTAATTGGTTCCATTGTCGTACTGCTCTAACAATTAAGAATGTCTGCACAAAGAAGTAGGAACTCTCTGACTGGAATCACACCTAGTCACAAATGGGCTCCATGTCCCAGGACGTTGTCAGAGGGAACTCTTTAGCTTTTTACGAGCTGATTTGCTCACTCTGCAGGGTCAGGCTTGGCACAAAAAAAAAATAACAGCTAGCTGCCCTCTTACCTGATAGCTCTGACCAATTCATGGAAAGATTCATCCACATTGAGGCGGATTTTGGCAGAAGCTTCCATGTATGGGATGTGGTTCTCCCGGGCAAAGCTGAGAGCTTCCTCCTTAGGCACCTGTCAACAGATATCAGGTACAACAATGAGTGAGGAACAGCAAGGAAACAGGATTTCATTTGAGGGGAGGGTAGAGTGGGGGAAACAGTTGAAAGAAAAGGGAAGCCACCACTCAGTGGCTTTGATGCTAGATCAAGACAGGCCTCCAACCAAGCACAGAGTCGCTTGAAGGGCCAGAGCAGACATTACCCATCTGAAAACATCTGGCCCTAAACCAGAACTTGCAAAAGTTCCAGATCCATGTTTCCCCAGGTACACATGGCAGTGGGGAAGGTGAATATAGAAGGAAGAAGTGGGAAGCAGGAGGGATGTGAAATTTCTCCTAGTTCCCAAATCTTCCCAGCAAATAGCCCCTCATCAACGCAATTCTCCTCCTAGGCAAGCCAGTTCGAAATGGGGCTCAAAAAAGGACAGGAGAGGAGAAAAAGGAAATCCACATGTGGGTGTTATGATGGGAGATTCCCTAGAAGCCCCATGTTCAATGTCTCAAGTTCCCTCATGGAAGAAAGGCCAGATATAACTGCAATAAACTGTTGTTATATGCCATGAAGTTGCCTCTGACTTGTGAAATCCTACTGAATGAGTGACCTCCAAAATGTGATGAATACATTGTAACATTTAGTAATCCCTGAATTTCTTTTTTCTCTGGAAGGGAAAAAAAACAATGCAATGTTTTCTCTCTGGAGACCTCCTTCTGATGAATAATGGTTCTGGCTGACCCACATTTCCCCACGACAGAGCTACTATCCCAGCTTCTACCAAATGAACAACCCTCAACACATGTGAAATACAACTCCTTCTGGAGACCTCCTTCTGATGAATAATGGTTCTGGCTGACCCACATTTCCCCATGAAAGAGCTACTAGAGTGGTCGAAATGACTAGATAGGCGGGGTATAAATACAATAAATAATAATAATAATACTATCCCCGCTTCTACCAAATGAACAACCCTCAACGCATGTGAAATACAACTCCCATCATCCCCACAAAATGTGCTGAATGGGGATAGTGAGATTTGTGGTCAAAGGCATCAAGAAAGCACAATTTAGACTTCCCAGTGAGCACTCAGGGTTGATTTCCTGAATACAACTCCCATCATGATAGGCGGGGTACTGAATGGGGATAGTGAGATTTGTGGTCAAAGGCATCAAGAAAGCACAATTTAGACTTCTTAGAAAGCCCACCAGCCCACACTCATCCTGTCTACAGCCACAAGAATTACTGAAATCAACTCTGTTCCCTGCAACCAGTATTAAGTCATTTTCTGTGTGACTCCGCAGCCACTAAGCCTTCCACCTACACTGTCCTTCTGCCCTCAACTTCTGGGCCTCCTGGCAGCAGACATAAGAAAACGAATTGAAGAACCTCTAGTTAGTTACATGCCATCAAGTCTGAATTAAATTATAGTGGACCTAATAGGTCTTTCCAAGTAAGTCAGATATTTAAGGGGCGGCTTAAATATCTCACTTCAGAAGTATTGTTTCCACTCAGATGCAAATGAAATCCAAGAACAGATTAAGCAGCTGGAATTCACAGAATTATTTAAGTGAGCCACTGCCCTGTTGGAAACAAGAAGAAAATTCTGGGTCTGTTAAGCGTTTAAAAGGAGGTGTAAACTAAATGTAGCTTAATTCCGTATTACTAATTTGCTAACCAGGCAGGCTGAGAACAATCATGAGTGGCTTTATGTGCTACAGAACGCCACAAATGAAGGTTTAATGTTACAACAGGCCCCATCATCCCTTTACCTGACGATAAGGGTCCAGATCAGCCTTGTTGCCCACAAGGATCATGGGGAACTCATCACGGTCTTTCACGCGAAGGATCTGTGTGTGGAATTTGTTGATCTCATTGAAACTGTGGTTGAAAAAAGAGAGAGAGAGAGATGAAGGCAATCTTTCCCTCAACAAAATGTTTCTTGAGAACAGACAGAGCAACCTAGGAAGGATGAGAAAGAACAAAATGATGATAGAAGGAGCACCGCTTTCCTAGGGCAGGGATGCGGAAACCACTGACTCTTCAGAGATTCTGGGGCTCATCTCCCTGAGGCCCAAGGGAGTTGTAGGCCAAAGCATGTGGAAATCCAAAGGGAGCCCTTGTCCTTCTTCCGAAGACCTTGCAGGCTTGCGCTGGTCAGGGCAAAAGGAGGGGCAGATTTTTCCTCCTCCTTTGCAGTCTTCATCTTTGGGTTGTTGTTGTTAATAAGTATCTCCTTGTTGTTGCTCCTAAAGGGCTGACAGCCCACACACCCACTCTTCTGGGAATAGGCCCAGGAAACAAGGAAGCTACAGATCTAGTAGATCCAAATAGAGCCTTTCCTGATCTGCCTCTGGTACCCCCACCCCTAAAACGCCTATTGCTACTCTTACTCCATCAGTGCAACAATAAAGAAGCAACTACAGAAAGGTCTGATACAAGGAGCTTCTCTGCAAATAGGCTTCCATCACTATCTTATAACCCCTGAGATGCGTTCCCATTGGATTGCATCTTTAATAGTTTTTTTAACCTTCCCAGTTTGAAGAGACTGGAAAGACTGAGTATGGATTACTCATGAACTGGAATATGGCTAATCCACAGTCAAGACCCTTCATAGCTATCAACTCACTAAACAACATAAGACAAAGGACTCTATTAGTTTTCTTCATCTGCAAATAGCATATCTTCCTATGTGAACAATGTAGAATACAGTGGTGCCTCACTTTACGATTGCCCCGCATTACGATGAATCCGCTTTAGGACGATCTTTTGCGATTGCAATTGCAAAACGATGGTCTAAATGGGGGGATTTCGCTTTGCAATGATCGGTTCCCTGCTTCGGGAACCGATTATTCGCAAAAGGATGTTTTTCTAACAGCTGATCGGCAGTTTCAAAACGGCCGCCGGGTAATTAAAATGGCTCCCCGCTGTGTTTAGGGACAAATTCCTCGCTATACAGGCAGCGAAAATGGCCGCCGTATGGAGGATCTTCGCTGGACGGTGAGTTTTTACCCCACTGGAACGCATTGAACGGGTTTCAGTGTGTTTCAGTGGGGTTTTTTATTTCACTTTACGGCGATTTTCCTGGAACAGAATTATCGTTGTTAAGCGAGGCACCACTGTATACAGAAGAGGAAAGGGGGTGTCAGAAAGAGACAGAAAAGCAGTACCTTTAAACATCACTGGCATAGGCCTCCTTCACTACTGGCATGCAGTTTCCCACCAACTGATGCCCCCAGGAAAACAGGTTCCCCATCTATGGACCGACACCACATGACCCTCAAAAGTAGATACCACAGATTTGTTCTTACCTGCCACGGTCGTTGATGGCATAGACCAGTAGAAAACCTTCTCCAGTACGCATATACTGCTCTCGCATGGCCCCAAACTCCTCCTGCCCAGCAGTGTCCAAAACTGACAGATAGAAATTATAAGGAAAGGTAAGCAAATTATCTGAATCACTCTGAAGGGGATGGATGTAACACAAGAGTCGATATAACTTAGTGACAAAACCAGAGCTAGATTTTGCTCCTTCGCAAAATGCCCTATGGCTTCTATAATGTTACAGACCTCCTCTTACTACAGTGACCTCTAATGAGCTTACCATTCACATTTCTCATAATGCTTTGGTGTGGTGGTACCTCAAGAGTGTTGTAAGGTAAAGGTAAAGGTTGCCCTTGACATTTAGTGCAGTCGAGTCGGACTCTAGGGTGCAGTCGAGTCGGACTCTAGGGTGCAGTGCTCATCTCTGTTTCTAAGCCACAGAGCGAGCATTTTGTCCGAAGTCAGTTTCCGTGGTCACGTGGCCAGCACGACTAGACACAGAACACCGTTACCTTCCCACCAAGGTGGTACCTATTTTACCTACTCGCATTTACGTGCTTTCGAACTGCTAGGTTGGCAGGAGCTGGGACAAGGGATGGGAGCTCACTCTGTCACATGGATTTGATCTTACAACTGCTGGTCTTCTGACCCTGCAGCACAGAGGCTTCTGCGGTTTAACCCACAGCGCCACCACGTCCCCCTTCAAGAGGGTTGTAGGAAATTTAAATGGTGGTTCTGAGCTGACCAGAAAAGCATGAGACATAAATATAGGGGGGAAAGTATATGCGGTGAACACTGCTGATGGCCACCAAACTGTTTGTAAATGTTGCATACTGATGTAGGACTTGGTTAAGAGTACAAGCCATCAACTGATAAGCCACCACAACCACAAACATATTTATAATCATGATCACCTTAGAAGTGCAGAGCTGGAAGGGATCTTAAAGAGGCACAGTGGGGGACTCAACTCCTAGCCTCTGCAGCCAGATGTCTAAACCACTGCATTTCTCACATATCATCAAAGGATAATAGAAAATAATAAAAAGTTAAACCCACCAGAAATATTTGGAAAGGTGAAGCCATTTTAGGAATGCTGAACTATTTTCTGAAGAAATCAGAAAATCATCCTAAGCAATCTGAAAACATTTTCACTTTAGATAGCCAGAAACCCAGACTTAGATGGCCCCTGATCTGCCTCAAGACTACAGGTTGTGCTAATACACAATTCAAGAGAACAGTTATTTTACTGCTGCTATTATTAAACAGAAGTGAGGAAATAATAAAAACAAGCAGCCTCCAAAAAACAGTCAGTCTACATGAGATGAGGAAAACTGGGGAAGGGAGAGGAAATCTGTAAGGAATTGAAAGTAATCCAGATCCAAATCTTTCTGAACATAATGGATGTAATACAGCAGCTGGCATCGCTATGAGCAGGCCTGGCTCCAAATGTGAGCAGGCCTCTCAGCAAAGTGCCCACTAGTGAGTCTTGACAAGGTTACTAAGTGGCTGACATTACCGCTTAGGGATCTAAGTGCCACTTACGGATCTGTTATTAATTTCCCACAATGCCTCGGGAAACTGACCGCCCAGGATGGGGTGATGATGAGAGGGCTGGGAGGTCTGCCAGGTTCACGCCCTTAACGAACCAACTCATTCCTTGCGTCTGTTACATTCTATCAGCCTGACCCACCTCACAAGGTTGCTGTGAGGCTAAAAGCAGGGAGAACAAGAGCTCTAGACACTTCCTTGAGCTCACTGGAGGAAAGACAGGATATAAATACAGTGTGTGTGTGTTACTGGAGTGAGGCTGTATAAGACATAGCATGGTAAACTAAGATGGCAGCTCCCAAAATCATGGCACTACTCATTACCTGCAGGCAAAATTCTTTTAAGGGGCGAAGCAATAACAGGGCAGTACATGTTTGGGTAGATTTTTGTAGCAGTACATAAACTTTATTTCCTTTGAATTTTGCCAGAAGGGGATCTCAGTTGTACAAAAATGAGCTTGTGAGTTGAGGAACAATTGCATGATGCCTGGTTTTGATACATATGCATCTTTCTTCTTTATTTTAATTAATTACTTAACAAATGCCAGTGTGAAGTAGGAAATAATGTCAGGTTAGGACTTGTGGGATTGGGGTTCAGATCTCTGCACAGCGAAGAAAACTCATGGGCGATGGTGGAGATGCCAATAGTAAACCACTTCTCGAACATCTCACATACCTCACAATCCCTAATAGGCTTTGCGAAGTGACTTCATGGAACATACCAACAACAATTTAATTCAAAGTACTGTTATACTGTACAGCATTTATTTTTAAAAACTCATTTAGATTACATGATTGGAACAGATAAAGTAAATGGGAAACTGAGAAAGGAAGAAGAGACATTACTTACATGTTTAGAATTTTAAAAATTATTAAATGTTACCAACAAACAAATATTGGAGCCAGGGTCCAGTATTATGTATCATCCCATGATCTCCGTATAGATTGTTTCCTATTTTCTGACTATCTCTGGTCCATGGATATGCCTTCCTTCCAGTTGTATTCTATCTAGGTCCGACCACTGCAAAATTTCCCTCCCCATTCCTACTTTGCCCCACTGCTGTTGCTGCTTCTGAGCTGGCAACCACATGTCCTACAAACTGCCTGGCCCTCCCCTTGGGAGGGAAGGGAAAGTATCCTGCTACTTCCTCCCACAAAGCTGTGGTCATGACAGCACCCCGTGCCCTTACAAATGACACCACAGAAAGAGGCTGCCTACCGCAAGATGCTAGGATCCTCCCCCCCCCCAATTCTTACCACCCGGACAGCATTTGTGCATACAGCTTTCCACAACACTCAAGTAGGACGCCAGACTTCCGATACTCACTGTCCAGCCGTGTCGGGATGCCATCAATGTTGCAGATTTTCGTGTACGAGTCCTCAATCGTAGGGTCATAGTCAGATACAAAATAAGACTTTAAAACAAGATAGAAAAGGAAAGAACATTAACAAACCTAGAAAGAATTAAGCTTGCTATGCTCTGCAGCACAAACAGGAAACTCAACTCCCAGGTGGGGTTGATGACGTCCCAAGACTGCTCAAACTAGAGTCCCTTCAGACTCCTTGCACTAGACCAGCCGTTCCCAACCCCAGCTAACCCAGATGTTCTTGGACCACAACTCCCAGAAACTCCAGCCAGCAGAGCTGATGCTGATGGTTTCTGGGAATTGCAGTCCAAGAACAGTTCGGTTCCCCGAGGTTTAGATTAGAACCACTGCACTATACCACTCTGCTGTCCCTCCATGGAGCTCAGTTTTAGGTTCTGCTTCCTCCTCTTTCTGAAGAATGTAAGGGTGGCATTGCTGGGTTACTCCAAGGGGTAGAGCTATCAAGACTGGCCCAAGAGGTTTTGTTGCCTGAAGCAGAATAGCAAATGGACTTCCTAGGTGCTACACAGCACCCAATAAACAGAGAGACTCACCAGCATCTTTCCCTGGTACTAAACAAGGGAAACAGCTAATGAAATGCTACCTGTCCATCGCAAATCAGCTCCATCTCCTCTCCGAGAGGGCTGCTTCGGAAACAGCTAATGAAATGCTACCTGTCCACTGCAAATCAGCTCCATCTCAACCTAGCTTCCAAGAGGGCTGCTTGAGATAATTTGAAACATTATCAGTTTGAGCTCCCCATACTATTTAAGTTAAAAATTATCATGACCTTACAAGAAATGGGGGGTATTATTCTAAGAGAAACTTTTGCATTTTTATTTATTTAGAGACACTCTAAACCAGTTTATTTGTAACACCCTAATCCAGTGGTGTCCAACCTTGGGGTCCCAGATGTTCTTGGACTGCAGTTCCCCGAAACCTTCAACATCAGTCGGGCTGGCCAGGTTGAGAACCACTGTTCCACACTATTACTTGTTTACCTTGTACATCAATCCAGCTTTGCCTGTCCTTTATGCGAATGGAGACTGCTGGTACAACCTGCCCAGTATTCTCAATTTGAGACTCTAAGCCAAGGCTAGTGAATTGATGGCCCTACAGATGTTGTTGGACTCCAACTGCCCACCAGCCCAAGTCAGTACGGCCAATGCACAGGAATAATGGGATCTGGAGTACAGCAACATCCATCAGAGATCTGCCAGCTCTGTCTTCTGGTAGGAGCCCTCTCTAGCCCTGCAGGTAAAGACGTCTGGCCACTGAAAATCCAATACTGTATCCTGTTCCCAACAGTGGGCAGTTAGATGGTTTGGAAAATTTTTAGTTCTGAAGGCGATTCTTTAGGGTTGCCACTCACTGACTTGTTTTCTGCCCTTCTCCACTCCGCCCTTCTGATCCATCTCTGCCAAAACATGCCCCATCTCTAGTTTTCCGACAGGGGAAGTGCGAGATCACAACCACAGCTTCCAAAGGATGGATTTCAAGTTTGAGAAAAATCTATTTTGGACTTTTAACAACCTTCCACGTCTCTCCCGGCGTTACTGAAATCCGAGGACAAACAACATCTGCTTTCCTCCCCCTATCTCTCACTGTTGATCTTGTGGGTTGAATCGCGGTAGGTTCAGAATCCCCCCCCCCACCCTGCCTCCGCCGCAAGGCAGAACAAACGCCCCGATCCCCGGGCGCATTTTCCCGGCAGCGAACGTCATCAGGCCCCTGCGGGTTTCCCTCCTAAGTAAGCGCGCACAGCCCCGAAAGCCAGGCTGCAATCCTACCACATACTTTAACTTTGGGATGTCGCCGTGCTTGGAAAAAAAAGTTACAGCCAACTTTATTAAGCGCGCAATATCGTAAAGGCGAGTTTCATTTTCACACCACACACGCCGCCGCCTTGTCATTTTCAGCACGGAAACATGTTGCAAAAACTTTTTTTTTAATCCCACCCGCCCACACGTGCCACTCCTCACATTATTATTATTATTATTGCTGTTATTCTACGTACCTGGATGAACTGAATGGTTAGAGCGCTCTTGCCCACGCCGCCGCCCCCGACCACGACCAGCTTATATTTTTCCTGCGGCGCCGCGCCTTCGTTGGGATTCATCCTGATCCGGATCGGGTGAGAGGCTGGGGATGGGCGGGAAGGGGACCGAGGAATTCAAACAACCCCACGTCCAGCCGCTGCCATGACCTGCCACTCTCCACCCCGAAACAACCCCCCCCCCAAGGGAGATGGCTGAGATCCGGGGTGGGCCCTATTTTAATACGAATCGGCGCTCGGAGAAACGAAGCGCGGCAATTCCCGGCTGCTTCGCTTCCCTATTTGGCCAGCGGGAGCCGCTACGGGGCGGGTCCCACGTCCGGAACGAGTTTCTCAGGTCCCCCCCCCAACACTCCTCCCTCGCCTCGAGGGGGATCCGCCCCGTGCCTAGTGCCGGAGGGAGGCGCTCGGCGCTGAGCCCGATGGAGCGCTTTCGTTGCGCTCCGTCCCGACGGGTGCAATTGCGGAGGTGGGGGGGTTAGGTCAAGTGCTACTCCCCACCCTGCCCCACCGACTCAGCAGGAGATCGGATTCAAAAAAAGAAAAAATCCAGCCGGCAGCTAGTGAAAAGCACGAATTGACGTAATCACAGCGAACCAGATCTCCCCAGAAAGAGGAGAGGAGAAGGGGGGGGGTTTGTATGGCAGGAACTTTTAATAACTAGTTGCCCCTTACAAGAGATTCCCACGTGGCGACCTTTTGCCTCTTTTTCTTAGGCAGGGGTTGGAATTTGCCAGCCGACCAAGGAAGGCTTCAGTTGTTCGTCTCGTTGGGGTTGATTTATTGAAGCCACTGCTGAATGAGAAGTCGTTACTTGTGTAAATAGCATTGATGCAATGGGTCTACTCGATTTGGACTAGCAGTTGCACGGGCGTCTGCAGAAATATTTCTCGGGAGGGGCAAAGTCTGTTACTGATTCCTACGGGTTGTTGACCTGTCTGAGGATTTTACCTAGGTACCTTTGAAGAAATACCAAGTGGGCGAGGCCTGCTTCCCTACCCCTGCTGGATTTAGGCCCAGGATCCCGGGTTATATTTGCTGAGATGAGGTTGGAATCCGCCTTGCTGAGATCCAGGTCCTTTATAACTTTTCTGAAATGAGGAGGTGGATTGCTTAGGACCCAGGCTGGAGGAAGGATCCAAGGGAAACAGCCTGATGCTAGGCTAGGCATGTTCCCTCAGAAAGGCCCTGCCCTACTATTAGGCAGTGCGAGGTGACTGCCTCAGGCAGCAGATTCTTAGCTGTTGAATTTACAAGTATTATTATCCTGTTTTTACTGTCAGAGAGGGGAAAAAACCATTGTGGGATTTTCTGCCTCTTGTGCCAAAATAACTTGGCTGGCTTTAGGTACTACAGATGGTGGAGGAGGAGGGGGGCAGTGTTCACCCTCCCGCCTAAAATTCCTTTTTTTTTTTTTGGCCACCTCCCTTGGGGGTAAATTCCGCCGGACAAGTTTAATGGCCTGGCATGTTGAGACGTACTCCGAATTCTAAATAAACATGCATAAACAGCTTGCAAACGTAACTGTTCAAAACAGACAGGGCGTGTGGGTGCTCAAGCATTGCCTCAGAACTCCTGGGTTCTTTCCAAGCGGCCTGGACGGCCTAGAGTTAAAGGGGGAGCTGGCATGCCGGACGGAGGGAGGGACGCTAGGACCCAGTGCTGAGCCCTGGTGTGGAGTGAGGGTGTGGGGGGGGCCATGAGCTCACCACCACATTCCTTTCATCTGTTGTGTGGAGGAAGTGGAGGCGCTCAGTGTTTGTTCTTTCCCTCCTCCACCCACTGCCTGCAATAGACCTCCTTCTCATGTACAGTGCAAACTGAGGGGATCCGTGAAATGTGCCCATTATAGACTTCATTTGGCCTTCTCCTCTTAAGCCTTCTAGCTCGGGACGCGACTGAGGCTTTTTCTCTGTCGATACAAAAGCCAGCAGTCTTGTTTTAAGAAACACTAAATCTGTGTATCTCACTAAATAGAGATACAGGGAAGTGACACCAGTAAGGGGGTGGGGGGGAAAGGTTGCATGGAGGTATTTCACTAGTAAGCAGCTTGATAACAGTGAAAAAGAAGTTGTAAAAGAAGGTTGCCTTACTTTCAGTGCAGAATACAGATGTAGAGATATTGAGAGAAAGAACCACCAAGTCTCTAGCCTCTTTTTAAAAAGCTGCTATATTTTTGTTGCCCGTTCTGCTGAAGAGCTCCAACAACCTATGAACCATTTTAGTAAGGCCTGCCAAGACTTTTTGGATG